ACCTACCAACTGCTCAGTATCAAAGATACAACGGATACACCGGTACATCGCTCTACCAAGCCACGAGCTTGACAGTATTCAACACCCTGTTCACAAGCCTATGCACAATTTGCATGGGTATCTGGGAACAGGATCTGAGCGCCGAGACACTCCTTGCTGTCCCGGAGCTTTACGTATATGGACAACGCAACATGGGACTGAATGCATGGAAATATGCACGCTGGATGTTTTTGGCTGCAGTTGAAGGAGTCATTGCCTGGTACGGCGTCTGGGCAGGGTACGGTTGGATTTCTCCTACCGCCCGCGACGAGGGTCTATACGCACTCGGGACTCTCGCATTTACTGTCGGAGTGCTGTGGATCAACTGGAAGCTATTGTAAGTCAAGTCTGCACACATTTGTTTCTTCAAAAACAGACTTTTTCTAACACGTTGATAGCATTTTCGAAACCCACTACAAATCAACCATCGTCATGTGTTCCTTTTTCATCACAACATGGGGTTGGTTTGCCTGGCTGTCCTTTTTAGACGGCGTTTATGCACCAGGTCCAGAAGGCCCGTATCTAATTCGGCATACTTTTACACGAGCATTCGGCGACGATGCTGTATGGTGGGCGACAGTCTTTATTGTTCTCGCGTTTCTAGGCCTCCTGGAACTTGTCGGCAAGACTATCAAGCGTAACATGTTGGTAGCAGGCGTGTGGCACTGGCCCCCGTGGAAAATGCACCGATTGGACGATAACGTGGAGGAATGGGACCTCCAAGTATGGCAGGAAATGGAACAGGACCCCAAGGTCCGGGAACGGCTGAGAAGATTGGCCAATGACGAGGAGACAATGGAAGACATAGAAGCGGAGGATGTGTTCAATGTCGAAGCTAGAATGGATGGATAGAATATGGTGCTTTGTTTCCTCGCTTTTTTTTTTTCTGTTTTTGGCCCCTGTTGGCGCTTAGAAAGACGCATGATACCCCCGAGTTTTGAGACACGATACCACTCATGAGTAGAACAAGTACGTACAGAATTGTCATATAGAGATACGAGAACTTATCATTTTGTCATCATGGCTTGCTGTATTCGCATGCAAATCTATAACACTTGGCTCGCCGAGCTATGCTACTTCTTCTCCGCCACAGTCCTCTCGGGGTCATTACTGTTATTTTCCGCCGAGACGATCCCGCCGCCAGATTCATCCCTGACCAAAGTGGCAGCAGGTCTCGACTTGCCTATAATGTCCATGCTCCTGAACGCCGTCACAACCACCAACAAGGAGGCCGTTCCAAACGCAAAATTCACCCAGCTGGCGGCCCTCAAGCCCGTAAGCGAATCCGCGTCCCACTGCCGAATAGGACCTGCCTCCTTGACGACAACGCCACGCGCCTTGGCCATGGCAGCCGTTTGAATAGCCGTGCCAACAGCCAGGCCTATGGAGCGGCCAAACTGTCCCACGGCATTGATCAACGCTCCACCAATGGCCTGGTCCTCTCGTGGGAGAGCCTGGGACGTGAACAGCGTCAGACAGGGCCAGGAGGTATCGGCGCCCACGACGGCGAGTACCATGGCGGGAAACCCGTACGCCCAGTACGTCGTGGTCGGGGGGATCGGGACAGCGTACAGCAGACACGCCACCGACGTGGCCAGCGTTCCAGACACAAGAATAAACAGTGTCGGTATGCGACTTAGCAGCTGGGCTACAATGAGAGCCACCAGGACGCCCGTCACACCGGTGGGGATATACCGCAGCATGGTGTTCAGCGGCGATAGTCCCTGGAAGTCCTGGAAAAAATAGGTAGTGAAGATGAGATAGTTGTTGAAGGCGGCGAAAAAGAGGCCCATGATGACCATGGCCGCGGTGAACCGCCTATTGCGGAAGACGGAGATCTTGATGAGCGGCGCGCGAGAAACGCCGCGGGCATGCCGGCGCTCGAGGCAGATTTGCCAGAGCGCGAAGAGCGCGATCAGGAGGATGGACATGACGAGGATCACGGGCACCCAGGGCGTGGCCCAGCCAACGACATTGCCTTCTGTGAGTGAGAGGTTGAGGGCTAGGAGCGCGGTGGTGATGAGCGCTGCGCCGAGCCAGTCCACCGCCGGGGGCTGGCTCTCGGAAACGCTGACGTCTAGTTTGGTGTCCGAGGGAGGGGGAGGAGGCGGGCGAGGCGGGATGAGCAAGATTCCAGCGACTGTTATGATGGCGGAGAGGATGGCGAGCGCGCCAAACACCCATCTCCAATTGGCGTATTCGGCGATGAGGCCGGAGAGGAGATTGCCGCATACACTGCCCAGGGGGGCGCCAGCTCCTTGACAAGATAAGGTCAGCGGGTGGCCGAGTCTGGGCTCGAGTTGAACTCACCGTACGTGCTGAAGGCGTAGTTTTTTGCTTTCCCCGGCGGGAACGTGACGCCCAATATCCCAATAGCCGTGGGCACCGTCGCCGCCGCTCCCTATCGAATAAGCCTTCAGCATTCATCTCATTGCACATGATTGTGCATGTCAAAACCTACCAGTCCCTGTAGCCCTCGGAACAAATTAAAGGCAGTCTCATTAGGCATAAACGGATTCGCCGCCGTAACACACGTCACCCACAGGGAACCAAGGATGAAGATGAGCCGCTTGCCGTAGATGTCGGCAATGCGACCCCAAAGCAAGAGGAAGCACCCAAAGGCAAGGGAATAGGAAGAAACGATCCACTGCTGACGACTTTCGGGGATGTCGAGGCGTCGTCCAATGGTAGGGAGGATGATGACGACGCTTTGGATGTTGAGAACCTGGCAAAAGAGTCTCTGTCAGTTAGTCTTTTGTCTAGATTATTTTGCTCCCCCTTGCCAATTATCCAGAGTCACGAAGGGGAATGAAAGTATTGAGTGATTTCCGTCAGGCGAAGAGAAGCCACCCAAACTAACTTGACCGACTTACGTTGAGAAAGGCGGCTCCAGTGACGGTAGCCACAAGCGCAATACATCGTGCCTTGGACATGGGCAAGTCACCATTCTCATCTTGGCTGCCGGGCTCGTTCCGCTCAAGGCTGGCATCCGAGTCATCATGGTTTGTATGCACCGAGACGGTCCTGGTGTTGTGGTTTCCGTCGGAATCCGCCCGTCCCTGTTGCGACCTCGACGTCGTATCCCTTTCGGCAGTCAGAGGCTCGGAGCCCATTGTGAAATATGTCTTCACCTCACAGGGCTCATGGCATCGTCAAGACACACCCTTCGTCCGGACCTCGAGAGCAATACAAACCGGGGAGCTGCTTCTTTTTAAAAGATGCCAGGTAAACGGGCACAACTTGGTCCATGTGGATCCCGGTGCTTGTCAACGGACCGATAACCAACTACAATCAGATCCGTACGGAGTAACTGAAGCGCCATTCAGCGCGTATTCAAGCAGGTTCGTGTGGTTTGTGGATGCAGACGGTGGGCCCAAATTTGAGTTTTGTTGCCGATTCCATTCCCGATGCTGCCCAGATGGCACATTTCTCACAATGGAGCAAGAATCCAGCACCCATTACGGAGTACTCTGTACGCGTTCGTGGACATGACGGGGAAATACTGGCCCTAATGTCGAAAAAAAAAGAAGAGAGAAGAAAAGCCACGGCACTTCAATGCAGCAGTACCCAACATGTCTGCCATGGACGAGGTGGTCAAGAGAAGCTCTTGATCCTTGAACCCTTGAATCTGCACCTTCCTTCTCTTGGCCGTGTCACCAATCGGATTCTAGTTCGCCGCCCGGTATTTAGCCTTTTGCGGGGAATAACCCAATGTACTGTTAGTGTAGCACAATTACTACCTCGTAGGTACTTCTGTAGGTACCAGTGCCCAGTAGGCACCCAAAGTACCTGGGCAGGTACCTAATATGGAACGCGGACCAAATGCCGGTGTGGTGCGGAAGCGGCCGTGATAGGTTGCGCAAGGCGGCCGTCGCCTTCGGAAGTTATTTTTACCACCATTGGGATTTGCACATCAACCATGCTTAGAGCTACAACAAAATGGCATTGGGAAGCCAATCTTGGATCAATGGGTATTCCTGAGGGTGCTGATCCATCCGCGTGTATACGAAGATAGCAGCAGGCTATTCATTCACGCCGTCAACGGTCAAGTCAGATACAAAGCCGCCTCCTTGCCCAGCTCAACATGGAGAGCATCGGCTCTGTACCTACCTATAGGTAGATGCAGGCCCTACCTCTACAGTTCTTTCATCCATACGACATCTCATATCAAACCAAATCCGCCGCCTAATAAGACCATTGACAATGTGCATATTTCTGATTGACTATCTCCTATCGCATCCCATCGCATTGCATCTCCTGGAGACGACCAAAAACTCCTCAAAACGCACATTCCCTCCCGTCGTCAAATACAATCTGTCCTGGGTCATCATCCCCTTTACCAGAAAATCCTCGTGAGCCAATGTCAACCTTTCATGCCTTTACCTGAGGTGAGAGCAGTAACAATATTATCAAGGAAAAAAGAGTGGGAGGGTGAGAGACAGGAAAAGGAAAGAAGACCTCGCAAAGTCGCAAACTCGTCCAAGAACTATCGGCGCTTGATATTTCGTGTAGGAAAAATAATAAACTCCACACCATCGTTTTCCTTTTTGTCTTGGCCAGTGCTGCTCCCCTCCCTGATTCTTTTTTCTTATAGGATATTCTCGACAAAAACAAGAGGAGAAGGGAAAAAACGCAGTAAACAGGTTTTCTTTTGCAATTGTACACGTACGCCATGGGCCAAAAAAACACAAATCCATCCGGCCCATTGCTGTTTCCTTTGCCTCTCTTCCGGTAATTCCCATTAAACACCTGTGCGTTGCGGCACGTGTCTTGGTGATCATGTTTTCCCCTCCCATGCTTCGATATAAAACACACAAAGACGACCCATCTCAAGGGTTCGGTAAGTCAAGGCCGAGCTCTCTCATCATGCGTTCCTCACGTTCCCTTACACGTATTCGCTCGCCATATTCTGGGCGGTATCTACCTCGCCGCTTTCCATCGCGATCACGGTTCCTACCCCACTAATGGTAGTTTCCGCCCCAGCCGCCACGCTGCTGCTGGCCACCTCCGTAATATCCACCGCTGCCGAAACCCTGTCCGTAGGAGCCGTAGGGAGTGTTGCCGTGTTGGCTGGCTCCCGCGCCCGCGCCCATTCCGTAGGCACTACCATGAAGGTTGTGTCCCTGCAGGTGGCTGGGATAACCGCCATAGGCTCCGCCCATCTGGGAATTCTGAGGAGGAGGGAGGCCGCTCTGGCCACTCGGGGCATTGTTGGTAGCAGATCCGGGACGAGGTCCGCCGCCAAGAGAAGGAGAGGGACCGGAGGCCGCCGTTTTGCTATCACCGAAAGGCTTCAAGTCGTCAGCGGAGCCCGAGGCCGGGGGCTGGTTCTGGCTGTTGAAGGACTGGTTCTGAGATTGGAAAGAGGAGGCGCCACGAGCAAAGCTGTCGTGAGCACCGCCAAAGCTGCTGCCACCCAAACCAGGCTGGCTACCCGCCTGACCAGATGCGGCGCGGCCGTACTCGCCGAGGCCAGAGCCAAGGCTACTATCACGATGAAGTGAGGATGGGCCGCCAAATGTGCTGGGAGACGAAGCATGGTCATATGGCGCATTGGGAGACATTCCATAAGGTTGGCCATACATTCCGCCCTTGCCGCCATAAGGACCAAAACCGCCTTGTCCGTAGCCGGAGTAGTACTGATGATAGTAAGGGTTGCTATAATAAGGATGATTGTATCCAGGGTACTGGCCATGAGACTGAGGCTGCGAGCCAGGTGCCCCCTGCTGAGGCTGCTGGGTTTGCTGGGTTTGCTGAGCCTGCTGAGCCTGCTGACCTTGCTGCTGAGCCTGAGCTGCGGGATTGGGAGTTGAGTGGCCGCTGTTTTGGCTGTCATTTGAACCACCAAATCGAGGTTGATTGTGCAGAGAGCCACTCTGCGGGTATTGGCTAAGGTTATCGGCAACATTGTAGCCGGCAAATGGACGCTGTTGAGAAACGCCGTCATGCTGGCCATGGGCAGCTTGCTGAGCGCCGTACTGCTGTCCGTAAACATTGTAAGGGTTTCGTTCTTGCTGATTGGCAGTGTAGTAGTTGGAGTAGTCGGATGGGGCAGAGGTAAAAGCTACACCAGGCTGCTGAACTTGAGGCTGTGTAGTCTGGGCGGCAAAGCTGTCGAACTGGGGTTGGGAGGAGGGAGTAGGCTGGGCGGCGTTGAACGGATCGAGAGGCTTTTGTGTAGCAGCAGCAGTGGCGGTGTCGGGAGGACCAAATCGGCCGTACTGTTGAGTCGCAGCAGCAGCAGAAGCCTGAGCAGCAGCGGGAGCTGTGGGAACTGTACAGTGTTTTGCTACATTAGCTTCAGTCATCCAACAAACTGGCGCAAGCCCAGACTTACCTGCTCCGGTGACGGCCGAGGGTACGGCGCCAGCAGTCTTCTGAGAGAATGGTTCTGGAACGGCGACAGGCTGAGACACAGGAGGGAGAGAGGCACGAGGATGAGCGACAGGAGAGTCGGCCGGGGGCTGAGCACGAGTCTCTGGTTCCTCACGCTCGCCATCAACGTCCTCGTCACCGTCATTCAGGCTGAAAGCCCCGAACTTAACAGCAGCTCGATCCACCTCGCGGTTGCCTGGCATACGAACAGCCTCTTCCTGGTCCAAAACTCGTCGTTGAAAGCTAGGGCCACGAGAAGATCGTTCAGTAGTTGCCTTGATCGCCGACGCAGCATATCCGCTTGCAGCAGATCGCTGAGCCTGATGCTGCTGGTGAGCAGCCGAGATGGGTGTAGCGGAAGCACTAACGGGGCTCTGTCGCGGGTCCCAAGAGTCAGCAGCGGTGCTAGCAGCTGTGCCAGTTGCAGGTGGATTAGAGGCATCAACAACCTGTTCAAGATTTGTCTCGGTAAGCTCGTCTTTGGTTGGGGGCAGAGCAGCTTCAGGTTCAGAGGTAGTAACGGGGGCCTGGACGGGGACAGCGCTTTGAGCCACAGGGGTAGTCTCTTCTTCTACGGGCTCAATGGCTTCGGGTTCGGCTGGGGCGGGCTCGGATACAAGCTGAGCTTCAAGATCAGCAGGCTTCGGGGCAAGAACCTCCTTGGGAGCAACAGGCGCGGGTTTGGGAGTGGTTGACTGGCGCAACATGCTGGCCCACGTCTTGGCTGCGGGAGCTGCTGGCTTAGCAGTTTCGACGGGAGCAGACTTCTCCGCAACAGTACTCTTGAGCTCAGGCTTGTCGTCTTTCGATTTGGCATTATCCCAGGCAGAGGATTCCTCAGTAGGGACCGAGAGCTGCTGGTTTTCCTTGTTACGCGTGCCATTGGTGCTGGGCTGGAATGAGCGGCCACGGCCGGCGGCACCACGAGCACCTCTATCAGTACCCCGTCCTCGACCACGGCCGCCCTCAGAGACGGCCCGTCCGCCACGGGCAGATCGGGAGGCCGACGTGGTCGACTCGCCGGCAGGGGCAGTCGTCGTGTCCTTCGCCTTTGTGCGGGCAGTCTTCTTTGGCTTTGAGACCTCGCCCCACTGGGAGATGTTGCCTATGCAGGGAGTAGATAGAGTCAGCTTGGGGGCTGCACCACGATAATGTATGTACAGGGCTCGAACAAATGCCAAAAAAAAATTAGAAAAAAAGAGTGAGAGGGCAATGGGAAAGGCTTGACACACTCGACACGCATGTGCTCGATTTCGTGATATGCCTGAATTGACTGCAGGGAGGCGTGGGCATTGCGATAGCAGGTTTTGGGTAGCTGTGAAAAATTCAGGTGCAAACGGGGACTACGCACCTTCAGCAATGCGTGCGACAGCTTCGTTCTCGTCACCATTTGTCTCTTGGAGGGCAAAAAGAACATCGGCCTCGGACCAATCGGGGAACATCTCGCGGATGACAGATGTTTTATCGCCATACTTCTTGCGGAGCTCGGCGAACTCGCCTTCGTCTTCGAATGCACCGAGGTTTTCGTCTTTGTGGTCTGACTTGTCGCCATTGGTTCTGGAGCGGCCGCCTCGACCGGCGAAACCTCCTCTACCGCCTCGGCCAGAGCCTCTGCCACGCGTGGCGGACGACCTTGATGCGACTTCGGACATGGAGATGGTTTGTGGTTTGTGGCGGGAGGCGAAGGGTCTGAGGTGGAAGAGGTCTGGAGAGACGCAGTGGCCAAATCAGGTGGCCCTCTGCAAAGAGAGAAGGAAAATTAAAAGAAAAAGGACAAAGTGGGACGGAGAGGCGGCTGAGGGCCAACTCCGAAATAAAGAGATAGTCCCGTGGATGAGGACACGGCAATGTGTTGCGAAGCGATGAGCGTTGTTGAGGAGGAGGAGTTTGAGAATGGTGCAAGTGGTAAGGGAGGCACGAGGTTTTCCCCGGAAGCAGCAAAGACCAAATGGATCAGGTCAACGAAGGATTTTGACTTTGATGGGCGCCAGCACCAACCGACCGGACACCAAACCCAGCGACCATTGAAGGGCAACGCGCAGCTACCAGCCGGGGCCTGGGTGGTGCAGGCGGTCTGGTGGTCCGGGTCCATTCGAACTCAAGTGCGCAGGTGCGCGCAAGTGCTCTGTGTCCATGTCTCTGGCGCTGCCAGCACTGTGGAGCAACTGGCCTGGTCTAGTGGGCCTTTGGGCCATGAACATGGAAGCCATCAATTGGACCAGCGCCAGGCAGGCGACGTCGGGTATGCGCCTCAAGCCTCAAGCCCCAAGCCTTCAAATGTTAAGCCTTAAAGCCTTAAGTCATGTCTGGTCCGCCGCTTAAATGGTTTGAACTGGTCTGGTCAGTCCATGTCACTGACCGAACAGCCCCGGCGCGGGCCTGGCCTTGCTTGACGTCGGCCAGTTGACGTTACTGTTGCAACGGCCCAGTGCCCAGCCAGCACTCAACATTGAACCAACAGTGAAGAACTACAGTGGGGTGCACCAGTGCTGACACTTGACGCAGCACTTCAGCCGTCGAGCGCATGTTTCCAGTGCCAAAAGGAGATGCCGCGTACACTTGACCTGACAGGCACTTGTATGCACAGTATCATGTCCAAATGACGTTCAATGCCAGCGGCGGATCATACGCAATAGTGCAGCCCAATGCTGGTGGTGGCAAGTAAATGACACCAAGTACCAGACGTTATGCCATTGATGTACTTTAGGCAAGTCTGGGGTATGTTTGCGCCTCAACATCACCAGCACATCAGGCAGTCATCAGCGTTGCATTGCACTCCGTGTCCGCACCGTGGACGGTTACGTCCCTGCCTTGGCTGGGTCTTATCCCATCCATGGCGTTTCCCAGCAACATTCTGTTGCAATGATATCTGTGCTCCCTCCCAATCGTGTGCAATCAGTGGGGTGCTTCCAGGCCGACTGGGTTATTTTTGCTGCCCAAGTTCTTGATGAATCCCTGTCCTTGTGTCGCCCCTTCTGTGTGCAAGACGACTTCAGGGAGAAAGAAAAAGGGATTGATAAACATGTATTCTCCGCTGGCCGGGTCTCTGCGCAAGCACGGCAAGGTGCTCGTCTTCGGAGCTCACCTGGGGGTGCTTTTGCCGACAATGGAAGCGCGCGCCATCACTTTTCCAAGCCCTTTGTTCCATAGCCGCGCATAGAACGTGGTCAAGTGTTTTTTTCTCCGCCCTGGTAAGTTGCATGGCGATCTCGTCACTATTTTGGGCTTGGATTGGGGCTCCTGCGCCGTTTTGCGCAGCCAGCCATTGTCAGTCTTGTCGACCACATCAGCAACCTCGGCAGCTCCGACACATGGAACTGACGAAACAATCAAGATCTGACCGGACTCGAGATATCGGGACGTTGCCGTCCATCCCGAACCGCTGGTCAGCACTCTCTACGTACGTCTATCAACTAGATACAAGTACATATCGAGCAAACGACGTCGCTATCACACGTGCGGGTTTGCCATTTTTTCATGGAGCAGTGCCACGCCTACGTCGGAGTGCGGAAACTTCAGTCTTCACTCGTCGCTTTGCATCTCCGATCGCACACTTCAGCAACCCAGCCTGGACCTGGTACGTGTCAGCATTCGGCTGTCCCTGCAGCAGGATGAACCAATGTCAGGGACGCTCTCCGTACAGATATTCCGTAGCTCGCTTTGTTTTCTATCCTGAGGCCAAAAACTTGGCTCCGAGGCACAGACACTGCCCGCCCCACACTAGCTCCCCTCCTTCAATTCTCTTTGGACAATGACGGACAATGAGATCTCCGATCTCATCACGTGATGCTGCTCCGAGACTCTGACGTTGACCACCGTGATGTCGAAGGTCTTGGCTGGGCTGATCCAAGGCAAACGTCACCACCTCCAGTAGTCCAACGGCAAGGTTATCATTGCCAGCGCATCTTTGTCATGAGTCCGCCATAGGCAGAGCTAGCTCCCTCTGCGACCCTCTACCATGCTCTCAACAAAATCTACCCAAGCGCTGCGGAACCTCTTCGCTGGCTATCACGAGCCTGCTGGGTTATCGAAACAGCAGTCTCAAAAGCTTTTGGATGGCCTCAAGGCATCCTTTCGACAGCAACTTGACCGTGAATATGGCCGAATAGGTTCCGAGCGCGCCGCGGCCTTGGCCAGAGTCGCAGATCCTGACCAACTTATTCGACATTCGGCCGCAACCCGACATCTAAAGTCCATTCTCTCCAATCCACTCTTTAGCTACAGCAAGCAAGTTAGCTCCCACTCATCAGCCGAGACGTTGCCCGTATCCAAGCGAGATCCCATGGATGTATTCGACCATGCCGTGGCCAAAGGAATGATGACACTCACAGCCGCTACAGGATGCATGGTGGCCAAGCGACAATTACTCTCCGCATCCAACTCCCCCCACGATGTCTCTTCATCACAAACAGCACTACGAGTTGTTCGGTGGCTCAAATCATCCGGTGCTGAGGCGAATCTCAGGTTCCTCGATGACCAGCCTTTTATTCGAGCGTTGACGCCGTTGCTCATTGCAGAAGGTTTAGAAAGCGTTGCGTGGGAATGGATAACCCGAATAGTCAACGACACTGGCCTCTCTTGGGAGAAGGATGTACGAATCAGTCGCGCCGCATTCATACTGGTCCAGATTGCTCGCACGAAGAGTCAACCACAACACGGAAGCCTGGACGCAGCTATCACAACCGTATTGGATGCCGAACAGCTTTACCACAACAGCCCTCTCCTGCCTCGACTCCTCGTCTCCCCTTGGCGATCGGTATCCTGGCTATCTACCGTCGAGTCATACAGCCGAGGGGCCGCGTCAGAGAAACTGTTTGACGCGCACATGGCCACGGCCGAGCTGCTCCCTCGACGATTTGAGATTGAAAAGGCACATCTCCACCTCTATCACCCCACGCATCCAGACCACGCGCCAGCCCTGCGTCTGTTCAACGACAAGGAAAAGTTCCGCAAGTTAGTGGCAAAGCTGAACCCTGACAAGATCAAATGGAGCAGCATCAAAGGCATGGCTATGCTACCGTGGATTGCCTTTCTGGGCCACGACACAGTCAATCATTTAACACAGTCGGGGAGGATTCGAGAAGCAGACAGCGTGACGGAGATTTTGCGGTCGGAATTGGCGAGTGTATCGATTGACTCGTTGAGCCCAACTTGAGTGGCTACTTGACATGGATGACTCTTACTCTCCCAACATGACATTCTCCTAGCCCCAGACGGGCTTTAAAAAGCTACTCAACTTCGCGTATGCTATCCATGCGCGCCGGTAGCATGCCGGGTATTCACCATATACCCGGCTTCTATGCCGCATCCACAGCGTCCATCACATGCCCAAGCTGTGAAGAAGGAAAGGCCAGTCCGGCTGAATGCGAGCTCAAGGTGGAATGCACAATCTCGTATATTAGCAAAATATATGCCAGATATCTGGAGTATTCAAACGCTCCAATATACCCAAATTCATGGTCAATCTAGCTCTTACATAATGTTCATAAACACCCTGTTTCTCTTAATCAGACTCACTTCCCTCCGAGTACGAAAACCCTTGGAACTCATCCTCATCATCTGACTCGCCCAATGCAGGACCAGCAGCAATCTCTCCATTGCCGTCCTCCCCCTCAACCTCCCTCTCATCTTCATCGTCAAGGTCTTCTATCTCAAAGACGCCCGAGATATCCCACCTATCGCCCTTGGCCTTCCTGCTCACATACTTGACAAACTTGAGGGCGCCACTGTCCCGCAGCACAATAGTCAACTCATTCCATGACGCAGGCTGGAAGAAGAGGATATTGTCGTCGTCCCCGAAGGTGTTGTATACAGCGGCATCTTCGTCCTCGTCCTCGTCGCCGGCCATGTAGATTTCCACGCCGCCGACCTGGTCGTCCTCCCCATCCTGTTTGGACGGTAGCTCTTGCTCGGCTTTGGCCTTGGCCTTGGCTTTACCTTTGCCTTTGACCTGGAGCTCCTTCTTCTTCTCCTGTTTGTCATCGTCTCCCCAACCGTCCGTTGGCGTCATGCCCAGGCCGAGCTCGAGCCGGGCCTTGCCTTCATGTCCTGTGGCGAGGGTGTAATCGGCGCCGCGGCGGAAGCGGCGCGCAACAAGGTCGTGGCTTTGGACGGTGCACTTTGTGGCGATTTGAAGCCAGTGGCGGAATTGCCTGCTGGGCAGAAGTATGTCGAGGAGCTCGGTGATGGGAGATTCCTCCTGGGATGTGCGCAGCTGGTCTGGTTCGCTGGGCCGCTGGTACAGATAGCGGTGCTTGTGCGGGGGCCGGGACACCTTCCAGGGCGAGGACTTTTCGATGGCTTTGCTGTCCTGCGGGAGAGTCTGCTTCTCCTGCTCTTGGATATAGTCCTTTAATCGCTGGGCAAACTTCTTGGACAGGATGTTTGACAGCGTGATGCTAGAGTTGTACTCAAAGTGCTCCGAGACCTGCTCGAGCGTCTGGGGCATCAGGTATGTCGGCGCAATGTACTTGAGCAGGAACTCCAAATCGTCCTCTTCAAAATCGTCCTGGCTAGACGTGGGGTTGTCAATCTTGACGGGCTTGGCTTGGGGGGCGTCGTACTGCGCCGGGTTGCCCTGGAGCTGCATCAAGCTGCTGTTCTTGGCGTTCTTTTCCTCCTCGCCCTCGATGTAGCCCTCCTCTCCAAGCTGGGGGATATGGAACCAGCCGCTGATGGCCATGCGAACTCGCCCACTGTCCTCGTCTAGCTGCTCCTTGGTTGCGGCGTGGTACACCTCCTCCACATCGTGGAAGCTCTCCCCCGGCTGGACAGCAAAGAAGCTGAGCTGGTTCCAGGCCGGGGGGATCACCTTGACAACGTCGGGCAGCGGCGTCTTGGCCACCTGGCCGTCTTTGTTCGTCATCTCCTCTACGGGGAACAGGCGCAGAGCACCGCCCCATTCCGGCTGCCACGGCTTGTCGGGATCAGTCAGGTACAAGATATAGCTGACTCTGCGACTGCCAATGACATCATCGTGGCAGAGGAGAAAGCAGCCCGGTGTGTACACGTTGATTGCCATGTCAGTCTTCCTTCCACTCAGCGGACCGCAGCCAGTGATGCCGGAAACATAGTCTCTGAACGTCTCGGAGTAAATCGCGTCTCGGAGGGCCAGCAAAGACGGCAGCTTGGCCAACGACTCGTCGTCAAGGCCATCCAAGTTGGCCAAGTCTCCAGACTGGTGAATCTTGTAAATGTCGGTCTCCTTGAGAGTGAATTGCACGTTTTCGCGGACCTCCGCTCGCACAGAGCGCAGCAGCTTGTCGTCGACCAGCTCGTGGATCACGGCGTGCTTGTAGGGTGAAGAGGTGGCATATTCACGAGTGTACGAGTCCAACACAGACTTGTCGAATAAGCCGCTTCGGAACCGCTTCTGTGCCTCCCCGGCCGAGAGAGCTGTTCAAGTCCGAATAACGAGGTCAGTTCTTTGTCCGGTACTTGCGACAGGTTGCCTCGGTGGCGGTGTGGTGGTGGTGTCGGGGGAGCGCAAAAACGTACAGTGTTTGGATTTTTTGCTGCTGGCTTGCTTGCCACCGGCCTGGCCTTCTGCCTTTCTCTTCATTGCGAATACGCCTGAAACAATTGTATAAGAACAAAAAAAAAGACCAAGGTAAACTTTGGTATGGCAGGGTAAAAAAAAAAAAAAAAACACGCTCACAACCAGGCAAGGACAGGCGAGTGTGAAGTGCTTCTTTTCTCCAGAAGCTTTTGAGCCGCCGAGGTGGGCCAACGCCGTCAGAACCCAGAAATTTTTCCGGGCCGTGGCACCACCTCATTGTCGGCGTCCCACTACATACATGTACGGAGTACGTCAATGTTGAAATACACCGTCACCGACTGGATCAATTCATGGATGGATGAAAAGGTGCGCTTGGCGAGCCTGGCGCCGTTTTCCGCTGCAAGCACAGTCGATTGAAGGCCAATCGTCAGCACACAGACATCAGACGTGCAATCATTTCCACCGACACTCAGGACATCAGCCAATTGTATTTACTATGCCATTCATTGCATCTCGTCGAGGCGCTTAGATACTTCGCAACCGCCTGGCGGCGACAGACGCTTGGCAGACCTTTGGCTAGTAAATAGTCGCCGCTACTATTAATACGTACTTGCCCCCTAAGCCCGCTGCCGTGACCTGCACCAACATTGAAGTGCCTAATGCAATGCATGTTAGCGCCAGGGAGACATTGGCTCATGTGGTTTCATCTGCCAAAGATGTGTTGCACGCAGGTCTTGGATTTTCAAAATGCGACTTGTGTGCCTGGCCGTGGCTAGTAGATGATACATATCCTCGTTACTGAAACGAAATGAGCAGTAGACCCTCGGTTTGCGTTTTCTATTATTTATACCAAGCATCGTTCCATCGTCTATTCGTGTATATATATAAATAACTTCAACCAATGGCAGCCCATCACGGCACACTCATAGTCTACCAGCCCTCGAATCTACCGATTTTCGCAGTAAAGAAATAACCTCAGACGGGTCCTTTGCGCCAAACACGGCACTACCAGCAACAATGACATTGGCCCCAGCATCGGCGGCCTGGTCGATAGTCCCTGGCCCCAAGCCACCATCAACCTCGATGTTCAACTCGGGGTACTTGGCCCGCAATGCCTGCACCTTGGGGAGCTCGCTCGCCATGAACTTCTGGCCGCCGAATCCAGGGTAGACCGTCATGACAAGAACCATCTGTCTAGTCAGCAAAAACAACAGCCGCCAGGGAGATGTGCGCTTACGTCGGGCTTCTCCTTGGGATCGGCAGTCTCCAAGATATCCCACAGCACATCAACAGACGTGTCTGGCTTGATGGCAATGCCCGCAAGCATTCCGTTGGCGTGGATATACCGAATGAGATCTTTGGGGCTGGTCTTCTTGTCCGACGTCTGCTCGGGGCTCTCGGCAGCCGTCGAGAATGCCGCTTCATAGTGGAAGCAATACAGGTCACAACCGGCGTTTTTAAACTCCTTGACCCATTTCTTGGGCTACAGGACAAGCAGGAAATCCGTCAGCCATGGCCCAACTTCAGTAATTGGAGTCTGCGCCCTCCACAGACCGGCGCTCGGCCCCGTTTCGCACCCCGGCAAGGTATTTACCTCTGCAATCATCATGTGGCAGTCAAAGGTGCCTCTGCCATGGCCCTCGGTTGGCTTGTCAACATGTTTTCTGATCTTGGCAACGACGGGAGCTCCAAATGTAATGTTCGGAACAAAGTGGCCATCCCTAGAGCTGCATTAAGACATTGCAAACGGCAGTTGGGTAACATTGGATGAACAAACATGATATCGACGTGGAGCCAGTCGGCACCTTGTTCCATAGTACGAGCGCATTCCTCGCCCAGCTGAGCAAAGTCAGCAGACAGAATTGAAGGCGCAATAATTGCCGGCGGGGTCATGGTGTCTTTTTTTAAAGGGAGAGGGGGGAGAGGAGGAGGAAGAGGAGGTCGGGCCCTACGAATTGGAGGGCGAAAAGGAAGAATTGGGTGGAAGAGTCGGGATGCCAAAGAAAAGAAGCATGTCTCTAGTCGTGCCTGATGCCAGTGGGGTCAGCAGAGCGGGCAGTACAATGGCGGGGTGTCCGGGTGAGAGATCGGGCGAGAGACGGGGTGGCCCTGATTCTACGGAGTACTGTACCCCGTACTCGATACCACTTCAGCAATCTAGGCGCGTACAAAAGGCAACATTGAATCAGCTGCACCGCTGTGGGCAAGCAGTTTGGGGCAGGCTCCTATTTTCAGGGGACGTGCTCTATAATAATCCAATTTGGAGGGCTTCTGGGCATGCTTTTCGCCGTCGCAAGCAAAAGCCAAGTCCAAGGGAAGTCAATGGGATTGAATTTGGCAAGGGCAGCACAGTGATGCAAGGTTGAAGACAATAGCACGGTTTGGGAAGCCGATATATAAGTAGGAACAAGTTAAGTCGGGTTGCCAGAGTACAGGAAGCATTATTATATACATCGGCGCTCGTACACAAACAAACAAGTTGAGCTTCCGCCGTCGTCGCCGTCACAATCACCACTGGTTCTGCACATTTTGTACACCGTCAGCAGCCTAGTTCGCGTCCTACCTACTTACTTGGTATCTACCTAGGTACCCAGGTTAACTATAGGCCATCTGTTGCTTAGAGAGCGGCAACGATGGCCAAAGCAGCACCGAGAAGGCCGCCTGGGTTGCCAAAAGCAGGAGCGGCAGCACCAGTGTGAGTCGAAGTGGCAGCAGTTGTGGCAGCAGTTGCACTGCCAGAGGGGGCGCTCGTATTCTGTTGCGAGCCACTGGCAGTAGGGCTGGAGCTTCCGGTCTGGGTTGCGGCAGAACCTGAGGCTGAGGCAGAGCCAGACGAGCAGACGAGCTGCTTGGGAGTGTCGACGCCGCTGGCGGCACACAGGCCGGTAGCCACTTTGATGGTCTTGTCAATATCGGCCTGGTCGCAGACCTTTTCCAGGCAGCACGAGATGCCCTGAATGAACGCCTCGTTTTTGCAGATGCATACAATGTCGGCCGGCTTGCAGCCTGCAATATTCGTTCCGGTGACGTAGGACGAGACGCATGATTGCTGTAACCAATGAGCCGTTAGCAACCGGAGCAAATAGCAAATTGAGCAGACCGGGGACGTTCAAGATAGCTTGAGATTGTGTCGGGGGTACAAGAGGTGGTCGTACAGCGCATGAGGGGATTTCGCCGAGCTGCTGTGCGGCTGCGAAGCTGACAGCAACTGCCAAGGTGACGAATGAGGGTCGCATCGTGGGTATAATTACTAGAGGGCACGCTAGAGATAGAGTCTTAGGTGTTTGAACAAGATGGCGGCGACGGGGCCGGATGTTGGCGGAAGCAAGGGATGCAGAATCAAAAAGTTTTGGGAGGCCAAAGTGCGACGAGGTGACGGAGACGAGATGCGCCAGATCGAGGAGGGAGAGAGATCGGACCTGCTTGGCAGCCACATGCACCTGCACCAATAGACTTTATGTGCCTACTTAAGTAGTAAGTAGGGAGGGAGTAGGGACTATGAAAGAGTCTGGTCTGGTGCAGAGGCAGACTTGGGTCTCTTAAGTAGCTTTTCAACGAACTTGGCTGCGCCATTGACATTGATGTCGAGTCTGGTGTACGGAGCAACCGCCCACCGCCCACCCACCATAGGGGGAGGGTCCTCGAGCACTAGCACCGAATTAATTCAAACCATGTCCAAAGTTACTTGTAACAAGTGCCAAGCAAGCAACGAGAGGCTCTGAATGGGCCGCTACCCCAGAAACCAACCTCGGCAGAGCATCTGTCTCGTTTTAGATGCATACGGGCTGAGCCCATCACCTAATTACACCTACCTACTTTACCTAAGTACTTAAGTAGGTACTTGGTCAAAATGACCGGCCAGGAGGTGGCGTGGCCCATGCAACTGATCATGCCATGTACATACATGTCGAGTACTCCGTACTCAAGTACATTGTGCACATGTTTCAACGCCAAGGCCGTAAATGAGGCTGGTTGTCGTATTAGTCGTCTGGTTGTTTTGGCCAGTCATTACGTCATGTCGCGTTGATGCGAATCGGCAACGGCACCTGGGAAGGGCTGCACGGGTCCTGCCCAATAGATGCCAGTAACGGCAAATAATATCGTCATACAACGAAGCAAGTAGTATTATACTATCTACTGTCGGATGACTGTGCTTGCACCGAGACGCACCCGCCGGCTCCAGTTGCACCAATAGAGACGTTTCATCCAGCCGACAAGGCGTTATTGCACTTGCAGCTGTGTATTATCAGTAAAGCTCTCGGGCTGATACGAGCCTCCGCATCGCCCTTGTATTCCCTTCAACAAAACCATCTCTGCTCTTCTCACACTTTCTTTCCCTGTCTAAGTAAATCAGATACTTTGGGCGGCAAAACAAGTGCGCTCCTATCGTTTCGTCTGTAAAAGTCTGCTAACGAGATGGCAGTTTTTTCCGGCATGTCCTCGTGGATGAAGTGGCCGGCTTCTGGGAATACTTGCAGCGCATATTTGCCTATCCATTGTGATTAGCACGTATTGACTTGCCGCTATACAGAAACCAGAGGGAGGAGATTACTTCCGTGCGTGCTTACCTTGCATTTGTCCAATCGTCAATTCTGTATCCAAGCGGTCGGTCCCCGCTAACAATAAGAGTTTCCCCCCCCTCGCGCCCAGGAACTTCTTGCTCAATCCCACAAACCAGTCTTCCCAGAACGGCTGGGTAGCGGCCAGGTTAGTTCTCCATCGCCATGGCCTAGAGGCTGTCGCCGACTCTTCTTGTCTCAAAAGCGCAGGAACCGACGTTCTGGCCGACACGGAGCTTCGTATCGTACGTGACCGTATGTGCCAGTCAATTGCCGTCTCAATGCTTGCAAATCCACTCGGTCTAGTAGAGAGATAAGTCTGCATGCTCTGCAAGGCATCCATGGCTGAGCCTTCTACCACATCAAGAACAGCATATCCGAGTAGGGATGTGCCCAACTTGCCTGTAAAGGCCAGGTCTGTCACAACCGCGCCTCCCAGAGAGTGGCCAACCAGCATAATCGAAGGCATCTGGTGCCATCCCATTTGCTCCTTTGTGGAGTGAA